GCCCTGAAACTCTTGACTCAAGAGAACGTCTTGGTCGGTGGCTTCTTCGTGATTTCGGGGTACGTGTCAGCCTACACCACCACAAAGCTTGGGGCTTTGGGGGTTGAGGAGAAAAAGGTTGCAAACCCGGAGCTCTTCTTTTGGCAGCGTGTCATGGCCTACTACCCACTTCATTTCGTTTCGAGTGCCATTTTTTGCTCCTATGTTCATTTGGGCGGAGAGGAACTTCAAGGCCACTTGGAACATGATTGCCTTCCGAGCCTTCTTGAACTTCAGCATGTTGCAAGCTTGGTTCCCCAAGGAAGCCGAAATCTGGAATCAGCCAACCTGGTTCTTGTCGGCCCTGACATTCTCCAATCTCACCATGCCCACCTTGGTGTTGCCTTCGGTTGCAAACCTCACGAAGAACGGTCTGCAAAAGCTTTTGGCAGCTTTGTGGGGAGTCTCTCTCTTGCAAAAGGTCTCCTATTCTGAGACTGCTCGCTTCCACAGCCACCATGAGCACCCTGTTGATGGCAAAGTGATGATGCCTTTGATTTGGAATTTGACTCGCTTCCATCCGATTTGGGCTCTTTTCGAGATGACCACCGGCATCATTGCGGCTCGCCACGTGATGCTGGACACTGAAGAAGAGAAGAAGAGAAAGCCAATGAATCCAATCTGGCTTTTCTTGGCCGCATACTCTTCGCTGGCACTCCGACTGACCAAGTTTGACTTCAACGATGCGATCATCCGAGGAGTCCTTTTCGTTCCTCTTTTCACGGAGTTCTTGACCGCCATGCACAGGGATGCTCTGACTCCAAACCCATCGGCGATCACCAAGTTCTTCGGTTGCAAGATCATGGCAACCTTGGGCTCCCTCGTGCCCTGGCATTGAGACCAGTGTAAGGAGCTTCAATCACTGGCAAAGCTCAATGTTTAAACTTTGTCTGACCGTGAGATCCCGTGAGCTGGTTTTTGCAGGTTTTTGCTTGCCTGAGGCCTTCCCGATGTTTATCGTGCACGGGCCTGTTGGCCAGGTGTTCTACAAGAAGGTAATCGCGAAAAAGCTTTGGGGGAAGCCTATGCCGCACAGTTTCTTCCCTTTCTACTTGGCAATTTGCTTGGCCATCAGCCATTTCACCAACGAGTACTTTGTGAAGAACAAGAAGGTGGGTGCCTTCTTCGGCAAGGTTGCTCAGTTCTTGGCAAATTGGACTGAGGGCATGCTGAGGGATCGCTAAATTTTGATGCAGCTGTAGAGGAACAACAGACCGATGAAGGTCTTGTTGACGCTCGCCCAGTTGCATGAGCTGTGAGTGCTCGATCCACACGAAATGTGGTGAATTCATTTTTTAGAAGCATGCCTTGTGTTGGCCGGGCACATGCCGCTAAGAAGGCCAGCCATTGGATGTGTCTCTTGAGACAGGGGG